AGCAGTTGGAACTCTGTCCGGGTTGATGCTAAAGCGGTTGGGGGAGAATCCAGGCGGGGCCACCTTTGGCAGTTGGATACAACATTCTGAAGCACAGAGGAAAAGTGTGTATATTTGCAAGTCATGAATATATAGATAGGGGTTGAGATCATCAAAGTGGATGATGCAACACACACAAAAAATGAACAGAAGAGTGATATGGGAAAGAATCCCAGAGAATCCACCACTGGGTGAGGGCGGGGGTCAGAGGAGGGCGAGCATGTTATGGAGAGCGGGAAAGGATGGGTGCAGAGGTTCATGGAGACCCAGTGAAAGAGAAAGAAAAAGCCAGTCCCTTGCAGTTGGTTACTGTTTTGGCAGCCAATAGCTAGGCCGTGATAATCCAATGCTGAGCATGAGTAACTTCACAGAATATTAACATCAGACAAGGTTACTGTGTCATTGTGATAGAACAGAACAAAAACAAGACCACTCCATAATCATACCTGAACACAGAAAGAAAAAAAAAAACCCACCATGTAACTACAAAATAAGATATCACTCTTCCTGACATAACTCAGAACAAAACACCCACATCCCTGAACCCTTTCTAAAATCACCTGACATAACCCTAATCTTGTGACTAGGCTCTCCTAACATCCTCTCTCTAGGAAATCCCCAGAGTTCCCCGGGGTGTGCCGTGTGCTATGCTGCAGAGTGAATAAATCTAACTCTATTTGACTATAGGTGTGTTTCTTTTTTAAAAAAACATTTTATTTATTTATTTGACAGAGAGCACAAGCAGGGGGAGCTGCAGACAGAGGGAAAGGGAGAAGCAGGCCCCCTGCAGAGCAGGGAGCCCCACACGGGGCTCGATCCCGGACCCTGAGATCATGACTTGAGCCGAAGGCATCCTCTTACCTGACTGAGCCACCCAGGGGCCCCAGTATTGGTGTGTTTCTGATGATTTTTGAGCACTGGGCTTTAACAACTTTATAGAAGCCAAAAGAGGGCGCCTGGGTGGCTCATTTGGTTAAGCGACTGCCTTCGGCTCAGGTCATGATCCTGGAGTCCCGGGATCGAGTCCCGCATCGGGCTCCCTGCTCAGCAGGGAGTCTGCTTCTCCCTCTGACCCTCCCCCCTCTCATGTGCTCTCTCTCTCATTCTCTCTCTCTCTCTCAAATAAATAAATAAAATCTTTAAAAAAAAAAAAAAGAAGCCAAAAGAGTAGAAAGTTTTATGGAGGAAGACATCACAGTATCTAGTGGAATGAAGAGGCCAATGATGTCCATCGAATTCGGCAAATATGAGCTTAGACTTTTGTGAGAATAGCTTTGGTAGGATACTGGGGGTAGATGCAGGGGTGTGCTTTTACTAGCTTGGGAGAGATAATTATGTATATTTCTTTCCAATTCCGCGTTCAGTGACATCAGGTGGTAGCTGGAAATCAGGCTTGGGAGACTTTTACACGATAGAAATTGGCAAATGCTACAAATCAAGGATTTTGGAGGGTCAGGAAGTTGGTAAACATTTACCATCACACCACTGGGTAGACCAGACAGGAAGGAATAGGAGGGGAGAGAGTCGAGGCAATTAGAAGTTTGCAGGGACAGGGGAGGAGAGAGATGCCACAAGAATTAGCGGTGAAACACAGGGTCGGTGAGAAGTCGACTTCCGACTGCCTCATTTCCTGTCCCGTGCTCATTCTACCTGCACAGTGATTGCTTTGGTTTACTAGTGAGAGCATGGCAGCCTAAATGGGACCATTTCATTACAGCTCGGGAGAGAATTGGTGGTGGGTTGGATGTTTACAAAGGCAGAGAAAAGGGGAGAAAGAAGGAAACTTTTGGAGGAATATTTTCCAAAGTCTTACAAATGGTTATTACGATGACTAGCACCCGCTCTGGAGACAAATGGCCCAGGCTTTTGTGTGATGTGTGTGGGTTTGTCACTCAGGGACCGTGTGGTTTTGAGCAAGTTACTGAACTTTATGCCCCAGTCTTCTCATCTATATGAAGATGATAATAGTACATACCTCATTTGTGATATTTATTGCTTTTGTAACCATAAAAATCCAAATTTATAAAAATAAAAACCTTTTTCTGATACACTTTACATCGTCAGGCACTCTTGTGATCCCGAGATTATCCAGCAGGAGGAACTACTGAATTGCCTACTCGCCACTCTAATCCATCACTTCACTAATAGGGCGAGGAGGAATGATTGCATTGTTTGAGAAAACTTAATGATCTACAGTTGGTATTCTTGAAAGAATCTGTTTGTTATAAACATGCAAATCCCCCTTTCTAATCTTAGTAAAGTGGGAAACTCGTGTGAAAATTGTCACTATCACCCCTTTTATTGTGGTTTACTATGTGCCAGCGCTATTCTGCATGCTTTACGTATATTAGCTGTTTTAATACTCATTACAACACTAAGGGGTGAGCACTACCCATTTTATTTTATTTTATTTATTTATTTTTTTTAAAGATTTTATTTATTTATTTGACAGAGAGAGACAAAGCGAGAGAGGGAACACAAGCAGGGGGAGTGGGAGAGGGAGAAGCAGGCTCCCCGCAGAGCAGGGAGCCTGATGCGGGACTCGATCCCAGGACCCTGGGATCATGACCTGAGCTGAAGGCAGTCACTTAACCAACTGAGCCACCCAGGCGCCCAGCACTACCCATTTTAGAGATAAGGAAGCTGAGGCACAAAGAAGCTAAGCGTCCCAATGTTACACAGCTGGTATGAGAAAGGATCTGAACCTGAGCTATCTGGTTCTACAGTCTGTGAGATATGTATTCGGCACATTCTCGTTAGAACCCAACCAGGGTGGGTTTAGTCTCTTCTAGAAATTCTGAAGAGCTACTCTCCTTGCTTTCACCTCAATATGAATGAGCTCTTTTCCTCAAATCTATTGGAACAAGAAAAAGAAGGTATATCTAGTCCAAAATCCTTTAGAGATATTAAGACCCATGAAACTCTGATTTTTGTCTGAAACCACTTTGCTCTTGATCAGTACTCTATTTATCTGTAAGAATGTGATTTTTCTCTCTCACAAATATATTATAGACACAGCTAATTAAACAAGTATTTACATTACTTTTGAAAACCCTGAGAGCATATTTTCTTTACACACTCTACACCGTATGCAGTTAACTCTTGGCAGAAGCCCCCCCCCCCCCCATTCTATGCTTTCAAAGTGAAAATATTTGCCTCTAAGGAAAATATGTGAACGTGGTTTATGCAAAATTAAGGCTGGAGATATTTTTTCATGTGGTTTCAAACATTAACTTTCTCGGCACTTTTATTGTATTAGTTCCCCCAAATTGCCAGAGAACTGCATAAGACGAAATAGTATTCTTTTTCTATTGAGCGTACCAAACGGAATTACAGAGAACTAAATTTTAAACGTTGCTAAATACTCCCCCCTTCTTTTATATTAAATTGGTGGGAAAAGCAAGGGATTCAAAGGAGATCTGTGAAGGTACAAGGTAAGATGTAACCCCCCCATTAAAAAAAAAAAAAAAGGATGTGACCCTCATTGACTGTTTTTCATGATTTGCCCAAGGCCACCCTGGAGCCTGATGCTGAGAATTTGTTTCTCCTCAGTGCCACTCCCAGCTGCCACCCCACCCCCTCACTTGAGTCATGGTGGTGACAGAAGCAGGGCCAGGACACTGGAGGTGGGGTTTTAGGTGCTGGTTGCATGTTTTGTTTTGTTTTTTTTTTTTAAAGATTTTATTTATTTATTTGAGACAGAGAGAATGAGAGAGACAGAGAGCACATGAGAGGGGGGAGGGTCAGAGGGAGAAGCAGACTCCCTGCCGAGCAGGGAGCCCGATGCGGGACTCGATCCTGGGACTCCAGGACCATGACCTGAGCCGAAGGCAGTCGCTCAACCAACTGAGCCACCCAGGCGCCCGTAGGTGCTGGTTGCATGTTGATATACGGTTTTTATTTGGAGAAACCTCAAAATAGTAAATGAAAAGAGTAGATTACTGGGCTTAAATTGGGACAGATTTGTGACAGGGAGTGGACTGCCGCACACGGGACCTGAAGGTATCCGGGAAGCCAGATGAAGCTCTCCCAAGACCGAAGTGAGCATCTGCTAAATTCAGTGTGTTCATGCATTAAATGTGTATTGAGCTCCCCCCAAGACCCAGACACAGTGCTAGACACTAGGTATACACAGATAAATAAAACATGGCCTCTGCCGGCAAAGAGCTCCAGACCCAGCAGGATAGGCGGGTATTTAAGCAGATTAGAGTATGAAGTAAGCCACCGTACAAGGTACAAAGGTGGAGCCCAGGAGGAAATGGCCACCTCTACCTAGGAAGGTCAGGGACGGGCTCCTGGGTTGCGCACACACGTTCAAACGCAGTGCAACACTGGCCCACAGGTACAACATGAACACCCACCCCAAACTGCTTGAAACTCAAATATGGGATTGTTGCAAGTCAGACCATTATCGGACAGCAGGGATCCAATATTTAGCAGGTCTGCGCGGATTAAAACGTGCACCCGGGGGGCACCTGGGTGGCTCAGTTGGTTGAGCGGCTGCCTTCGGCTCAGGTCATGATCCCAGGGTCCTGGGATCGAGCCCCCCCCCCGCGTCGGGCTCCCTGCTCAGCGGGGAGCCTGCTTCTCCCTCTCCCTCTGCCTGCCTCTCTGCCTACTTGTTCTCTATCTCTGTCAAATAAATAAATAAAATCTTTAAAAAAAAAAAAAAAACGTGCACCCGGTGAGGCACTGAGAACCACATGCCGCGTGAGAGGCTCCAGGACGCGGGAAACGAGGCGGTGGCGAGGCGAGGAGGCGCGCGTGACTGCAGCCGGGCCGAGCCCCCGGCCCTCTTCCCAGGCCGGGCGCCGGCCCCCCGCGGCTCCAGGCCCGCCCGGGCGGGTTGGGCTCGCCCACGCCCCGTGTAACCCGAGCCCGGCCCCGCCTCTCCCCGCGCGCACGCCGGGGGCCGGCCGGGCAGGTCGGGGCGGCGCGCCGTGAGTCACCGGAATCTAGGTGGGGCCCGGGGCCCGAGCCGCGTCCTCCCGGGAGCCGCCTCCCCGCCGCCTCTTCCTTTTGTCGCGCTGCCCGCGCTCGCGGGCCACTCTCCGCGGCGTCCGAGCCCCGCGCGCTCCTCTCCTCCGCGCGCCACCGTCGAGATGCTGCGCTGCGGCCTGGCCTGCGAGCGCTGCAGGTGGATCCTGCCCCTGCTGCTGCTCAGCGCCATCGCCTTCGACATCATCGCGCTGGCCGGCCGCGGCTGGCTGCAGTCGAGCGGGCACATCCAGACGTCCTCGCTGTGGTGGCGATGCTTCCATGAGGGCGGCGGCAGCGGGTCCCACGAGGAGGGCTGCCAGAGCCTCATGGAGTATGGTGAGTGCCGCCGCCTCCGGGAAGACCTCCGGGCTGTGGCCGGGCGTGCGCGGCCTTCGGAAACCGCCCTAAGGGAAGGCACTGAACCGGGGCAGAGGTAGTGAGTGATGGGGTGGGGTGGGGTGGGGGAAGTCTGTTTAGAGCTTAGGTTTAGGCATCCGACCTGAACAAAAGAAAGCATTAGCGGCTTTGAGTGGCCAGAACCAGGCCCAATGCTGGGCGAAAACGGACCTAGTTCAAACTATGTTTCGTGTAGCGTTTGCCGGTTACGTGCAAAGGGTGATTTCCAGCCACTGAAAAGGTTTAGATGAGGAAATATAATGAACAGGGTATTTTCTTGGACACCTACTGAAATCTCTTACCATTGCCCCTCCTCCTGTGATTCTTGGTAAGATTAAAATAGAAATATTAAAATATGTGCCTTCCCCAAGGTCGGTGTGTTCGTTTAACTGGGACTAAGTGAAAGCAACTCTTCTTCCATTGAAAAAGCCCTTTCCGTCAAAGTTTTAGCAGTTATGATTTCAATAGGGATGGCAGTATTTTTTAAGCAGCAGGCTAGTTTGGTTAGCTTTTGTTTTAGGGGCTTTTTGACTTAAATCCAGCATTGTTTAGAAAACTTACTTATTCTAATCTGATTTGAAATCTACGCAGCAAACTCATCTTCTACGCCAGCAAAATGAAGCAGAGTTGACAAATTTAATATATTGCAGATGGAATATTTTATTTTTTCCAGCATGGAGGCAGCCCGGGTGGGTGTTTCACTTAATATGCGGGACTGGAGAGGAGCCCAGTCCTGTCGGGGGCCACTCCTGCTTAGGGTAGTCCTGAAGAATAGCAGGGATCTATTGTGATTAGCAGTGTGTGCCTGGGGTGCGGGAGAGGAGGGGTTAAGTATGAGCATAATCCGAAACTTAAAGCTAAATGCTCCTGAATGAGGCTTTAGCAACTGAGTTTAATAGTTTTAAACTCAGAAAGAAGGCTACCCGGCCTTTTTTTCATTCCCTGCTAGGACCATTGACTTGATTCTTTACACCGAAGTGCACCGAAGTGGCCCACGGCTTCCGAGCACACTGTTTATTTGTGGTTCTGGGGGCCCCTATCCGGAGCTTGGTGCTGTATCTTATCTACTATGGAACTGTATGGAAATTCCCACCATGAGTTTTCCCCGCAAAGGGAGGCATGGTCCTCATTAGCAGCTAATAAAATGTAAAGACTGCATGGAATTCCTGCTTTCCTTAAAGTCTGTGTTTTTCCTTTCTTAAAACAAACAGAGCGCCTGCCAGCATTTCAATTATCTCAGATCTTTTAGGTTTTAAAAGGGAATTAATTTCTTTGAAGTAACGTATCTGTATCTTTTAGTTAAAACGTACTGGAGCTCAGTCTCTTGTAGGGGAACTTAACAGGACTGCTTAAACAGGTGTGTCTTTAAGCAGACTTGATAATCATACTCAGAACAAAGGCTAGTACAGACCCAAAGAGCAGTCTGCAGTCCCCCTCATGTGCAGTCAGGTTAGTGCAGCACGGGAGGAGAGGTGCTGGTAGAACCCCCAGCAGCAGCACTATCCCTGGGACGTGATCTGGCCTGCAAGACTCTGGCGGTGACTACAGCCCTCTTGGGAAACTCACACAATGCAGTTGTTATTTTTCTTGACTTGCAAGGTGAGCTCACCTTCGTAGGGTGTGGTGCCTCCAGCTCACAATGATACAGTGCTTTGTATATGGAAGGGAATAAGCAGGTTTTGTTGGTTTAATTTTTTAATTAGAAGTCTAAAGCATAAACTCTTTTAATTGTAAAGACACCACTGATCCGGTGTATAAACTATGTTTCAAGTTGATGTAGAAATTGGTCTTTGGCAAAGTTCAGTTTTCCAAGTAAAAAAAAAAAAAATCTATTACTACCTTTATGATGCAGCAAGACTGATTTTCATAAGTGGGTGGTGGCTTTAACATCCCAGTTAAGTTATTCCTATGACCTTTGCAAAGATAAGTAAGTGCCAATAATGTGTTAGACGCAGCTTTTGTGCAAGACCTAGAATCAAATCATGAATCCAGGATCCACTGTCATTAGGTGTCCATGGGAAGAAGAATATAGATGTGAGCTCCCCGAAGAGAGGTCCATCTCAGGCTCCTGTGGTCAGAGATGAGTTGGAATGTTTATTATACTTTCACTTCATTTTGTGCCATGGACTGTTGGCTAGTTTTGCTTCACAAATATCGAAACTGTGGATTCCTACAATGTAGGGTGATTTTCTAGGCATCTCTAACTCTGGAGATTTTCAGATAACCTCAGTAAGGCTTTGTGGAAAACAATATGTTTAGAGGAGGTCTCTCTAAAGAGTTTACAGTTTACACACACTCCCACATATGTATAAACCCAACAAGGGGTAAGGTGGATGACTCTAATTAAAATGATATCTTAATATAGGGGATTGAGAGTGTATATCCCTCTTTAAAAACTTCTTGCTATGTTCTAGAGTGTAAACGTTGTGATTTACATTGTAACTATTAAGAAAGTATACCTTCTCATTACAAAGTGCTTGACCATCTCTTTCTATTAATTAATACTCATAACATTAGTATGTTCGTTTTGATATTAAAAACAGATTATTCCTGGCAAGTCTTGGCAATAATGCTAATAAGAGAGACGTCTTTATAAAGGGAAATATTTCCTTAGAACTCTGTAAAATGCAGATTATACTACCCATTAGAACTATGTAAAATGCAGAATATTATATTCCCCATGGTTATCGATGGTTTTTTAAAGAACTTCAGATTGCTACATCACCTCATTTTTCCTCATAAATGAACTAAATTATACACTGAATATTTGCTTTTACATGATATTAACAACTAAAGAAATACCCAGCTTCACAAATACTCATTTAATTTTTAAAAAAATCATGAGCATGTAGAGCATGGAGAGAATCTCACATTTATATTTGTCCAAACAGGAAGAGAACATTGAAATGATCGGTCAAATTTCACCTACAAACAAAATGCAAAATTGCATTTGCATGCATGTTCACATATACTGTTTTTGTTCTGCCGGCACCCTTTCTTCCCCAGTTTTAGGAAAAAAGTACATCAGAAGGATATTTTAAATATCAATGATAGAGATTTCAAATCCCAAGCAGGTGCCTACTTGTCAGGGTGGAAACTAATTGTGATGAGTGAATGGCAGTGGGGACCCAGTGCAGCCAAATCAGAGTGCCTGCTTCAGCTCTGAACTCAGAAGTACAGAGCTTCCTTTTTACCAGATGCCTTTGAATACTGCACAGTGCATTGAATGTGTTGTTTTGGGGTTTTTTTTTGTTTTTTTGTTTTGTTTTGTTTTTACATGAAATCAGTCTCGGGTAAGTCCAGGAATCAGAGTATTATTTGAAATATTTTTAGATCATTTAGCCCTATGGTTCTTTTTTTTTTAATTTTTTTATTGTTATGTTAATCCCCATACATTATTTCATTAGTTTTAGATGTAGTGTTCCATGATTCATTGTTTGTGCATAACACCCAGTGCTCCATGCAGAATGTGCCCTCCTCAATACCCATCACCAGGCTAACCCATCCTCCCACCCCCCTCCCCTCTAGAACCCTCAGTTTGTTTTTCAGAGTCCATCCTCTCTGATGGTTCGTCTACCCCTCCTAAAGCCCTATATGGTTCTTAACTGTACAAGAAATGAGAAAGATAAGTACCAAGTGAATAGGTTTACATCAGGCTAAATTCAACTCAAAGGACTTCATGTTGAGATTGGCTCTTGAGGCTCTTTGGGGGGGAGGCGGGGGGAGGTATTGTAATGTCATTGTTTTATGGAATTAGGCATTCATGGATAGATTATTCTTTGTGGATGGGTGTTCATGGTTTTACACAGCAAAATAAAAAGTTGGCCACTCAATTGGTCATGGCTAAAAATATATATGTGTGTGTATTGATTTTTAAAATCCAGGCGTGTGGGAACCAGTGATTGGCCCACTTGCTGGACTTAGCAGGAACTGCCCAGGAGCCTCACTCCCTTTTAAGTGACCTAACTTGTTTTCTCCCTGCTAGGGGACACAGACTCCCAGGCTATAATAGAAGGGCTTTCACCAAAGCCTGTGCTCATCAACACCCCCCGTGACGAGCTAAGCCTCTTCCCTTTGTTCCGCATCTTAATTCGGTTCCCTGGATGCTGCTATTTGTCTAAAAGTACTTGTCTTATACTGATGGAGAGCAAGTATGCTTCCATGTAAATTTGACTTCCCTGCCTTTTTCATCTGACAGACTTTCAAGTCTGTGAGGATAGCTCCCCAATTCCCCGCTAGCTATCTAAGTTCAGGGTACAAATACCCATGTCCACATCTTCCTGGGTGGGATGGTTTCCCCACTGAGACTTTAAAACAAGACTGTAAAGAGGTAACGTATCAGGGTTCTACAAAAACCCAGCGGTAAGTAGTTACCATCAGGCTCAGTTTCAGGAGAAAATGTGGAGTATGTAAAGAATCTCACACCGACTGGATGCCATCCCATGTGACCCTGACCTTGCTTTACTGCCTTCTAAAGCTACTGCAGAATCGCTTCTTCCAACGTAGAGTTTTTTGGAGGCCTGTGATGAGTTGTCCTCTACATTTTTGCTACTCAACGTGTCCAGACCAGCGGCATCCGCATTTTCTGGGAGGTTATTGGACACTCGGTGTCTCAGGCCCCACCTGCTGAAGCAGAATCTGCATTTTCATGAGATCGCCAGGTGATTTGTAAGCACTTTCTGGTTTCAGAGGCGTTGGCCTATGTTCCTGCAGATCACCTCCTCATTGGACACACCCCAGTCTTTTTGAATATATATTCCACCCATGTGTATCTTTATTTGTAGATACGATCTTTTTAATTTTTTCAGCCATGATTTTATCCAGTTTTCAGTTCTATGACATAAAGAGTCTTACATAAAGAACACTATACAAACAGTATGAGATCTGACAAAATCTCAGATTTACTAGCTAAGGCCTTCGTACTATTAATAGATGAATCT